TTCTCTGTTGTTATATAAGACAACTGCATTTTCCCTAGGAAACAGAACAAATTTTATTCATTAATAATTGCACCTTAATTTGTTTACTTCACACTTTTTTAAAACTAGATGAAGCAGGCATTTGTTGGCATCTTGTGATCATATGCTCCTGAGTATACTTTCTTATACCCATTGCTGAAGCATATTTGACTGGGCAGTTGGTGAGTATGTGCTAGACCAACTCTGTGCACTACATAATCTGGTGCATTGTGCCATTAAACCATTTGTAATTAAAATTTCAAGGTTGAAATGCTTTATAGTGTGTAATAACCTAAATATGTTTTAATAATTCAAATGGTGTACAGTAGTTATTTTTTTATTGTGGAGAACACAAAATTGAATCTAGGTATTTATACAGTGTACTGTACTGTCTTAAATTCCCCAAGTTTAGAAAATATAATAAATTGTTTACTTATAATATGAAGGTAACAACAAATAAACATTATTGAATTATTGATGTTGCTATAACAAATAAGCATTACACTGTATTTGTTGATTACACATTTAATACTTTTTATTCATAAAAAATGCAGTACAATATATAGAGAGGGATTCCTCTGTAAGAATGGCATATTCTATTACGTTTTTAGCAAGAATGTGTATTATAGCTTTGTTTTAGAGATTACAAACAGTTGCTTAAGATTTAAGGTAATTCAAGAGAATATTATAGAAATAGTGTCTTATTCTTCAATGTTTTAGATTTGATAAACAGTACTAACTAAATACTGTAAATTGTTAGCTACAACTGACTTATAAAAATAATGGTATTCAATGAGAAGATTAAAAGACCTCACTTTTCAGATGTTTTGTTGACAGGAAACAAATGTTTTGTGCAAAAATTTAGTAATTTAAGCATGATTATTTCTGTCCTGTTGTTTATGTAACACGGCAACACTTTTCAAATTGTATAAAAATTCTTAACAATGAGTATTATTTATTTTATCCTGAAGAATTTCACTCATAATTCCTTTTTCTTGTCTTCCAGTTTAGGCATAGATGTAAGACAGATGTAGACACTATACTACAGCTAGGAGTATACACCACATTACAGCTAGGAATAGACACTACTGTATACTACAGCTAGGAGTATACACCACATTACAGCTAGGAATAGACACTACTGTATAATACAGCTAGGAGTAGAAACTATACTACAGCTAGGTGAAGATACCATACTACAACTATGTGTAGAAATCATACTACTGTACATCTAGAGGTAAGTACCATACTTCATCTAGGAGTAAACATTATACTATAACTAGGGGCAGGTACTATGCTGTGTAAAGACACCATACTACATCTTCGTACATTGTTTAGGACTGACGTATGACTTAGAATAGGAAATGTTTATGTTTATCACTCAGAATGTTTGGTAATGTACTTATTGTTTGTAATGTGTGTGTCTATATACATAAGTACTGTGTGTATATATATATATGAATACATTGTACTGGACAGGGGGGAAGAATAGCTTGAGCTACCTCATCCCTTTGTGTATATTTATACCTCCATAAACTTATTTCAATTTCAAAATTTAAATAATATGCTAACATTTTTATATTGCATACTTTGACATGTGAAGGGAGGTAGAAAAACTGTTTGAAAATGACATTGCTGATAGTACGCAAAAACCCAACCCAAGCTGCTTCACCACCACATCAGAAGGCTCTTTACAATAAAGCAAGGAGAAGTTCCTGAACTGAGTGGACTGGAATCAAACCAAGCAGCACTGGAGGAAAATTAAATAACTAAAGATGGCATTAGAAAGCACTTGCTGGAGCTGATCATGACCAAGGCAGTAAATGACTTTTGCTTCTTTTCTTAGTACTGTATTTATGTCTCTCACCATAAATACTAGGAAAAGGAGCAGAAGCCTTGTGCTGGCCACTTTCTATGATAGCTAACATGTTACTAGAAACAGGAGAACTATCAGAGAGTTGCAATATAATTGATATAGTGCTAATATGGAAAAGAGAAACAGGCAGGCAGCACTAAACTATAGGCCAGTTGCCTTTATTTGCATATCATGCAAATTGAGGGAAAACTCCATAAGAAAGAGGCTAGTAGAACCTCTAGAGACAATGGCCTATAAAACACAACACCACCACACTTCAGGGATGGCAAATCCTGCCTCACAAATTTAATAGTTTTCCATGACTGGGCAACCAAGAACCACCAAAACAAAGAATGGTGCATTGATTGCATATTTCTGAATTGTCAGACAGCATTCGACACAATAAACCATAGGAGACTAGTGCACAAAATGGAAAAGCAGATAGTAGTGAAAGTGAAGGTGCTCTAGTGAATAAAAGGGTACCTCTGCAACAGAAGACAGTGATTCTCAATGAGAGGAGAGATCTCAAGAGTAGCATAATATTACCAGCAGGATCTCAAATGGGTCAGTACTAAGGTCAATAATGTTCCTAATATATTCTCTATATATATATATATATATGAATGAATTATCAGAGGGAATAGACTCCTTCCTCTCATTGTTTGCTGATGATGCAAATGTTGAGGATAAAACTGATTGAAGACTGCAAGAAGCTACAGGTTGACTTTAACAAAATTAAAGAATGGTCCAACAAGTGGTTAATGGTTAATGGAGCTTAACTGAAGCAAGTGCAAAGTAATAGGGCTGGGTGTTGGAAACAGGCTGCTAAACTCAAGCAGCCTACCTGGCACACACTAAACGAACCTTTATGACCTTTTCCTTTATTCAAATTTGTTCAATTTTTTTTTTTTTTTTTTTTTTTTTTTTTAAAACATGGAGTAGCCTACCTGACATACACTGAATGAACCATTTTAACATTTGTTCCTTTTTCAATTTTTTTTTTAATTTTTGTTTGTTTATTTTACAAAAAAAAATTCAATGCTTTGCATCATCACAGCAGTCACTGCTTTACATCCCAGCATCATTAGCATCTTTAAACAAAAAAAAATATTTATTTGCATCGTCGGAGGTGTCCGAGAATGTGCGAGAAGCAGCAGGAACGCACTAAGTGGTTTTTTCATTAATCAAACGAGCACCCACCAATCGAGACAAATTGTCGGCGATCGGTGTGCTCATTATTCAAAATGCTCGTAAATTGTGATGCTCACTCGAGGTTCCATTGTGTATATATATATATATATATATATATATATAATATATATATTTAGACCTTACATTTTGTCACATAGTCTTTTTAATTCTTTATTTAATTTAATGTGTGTGTAATGAGACATAATTGAATTTTAAGCCAAATAGAACCTGTGTAATTTTTTATTTTTATTTGTATTAATTATCATTACAATTTGTTTTATTTTTAAAGAACATGTTGGTATGTCATAAAGCTAATGTGTTTTGAGTCATGCTGGGAGGGTAGCCCAGGGATTAATTTCTTTCTCTTTATTTTCAATACAGTAATACACAGCAATGTAAAATAAAGTTTGTAGGTTATATTCTTTTTGTTTCATGTAAATAAATATAAATGTATTATGAGGTATTTGAAACGTGATGAGCATAAGTAAGATGCATGTCCCCTACAGGTGGGGCTGGAGAGAGCTTGTGAGAAAGCAGCCATGTTCACCGGGAAGGGCACAACAGCCTCTTCTACCAACAGCAAGTTGCATCGCTGCCCATACTGCACCTACTTCACCATTAAAACTACTAATCTAGTTAGACACATCCACATTCACACAGGAGAAAGACCCTTTGCTTGTCCACATTGCCCATTTCGAGCAACTCAAGAAGATAATTTAAAGAGGCATGTTCGTACTCACACGGGAGAGAAGCCCTATTCCTGTTCTCTTTGTCCATATCGATCTAGACAGCAAAGTAGTTTGAAGAGGCATATTTGGACACACCATAATTAAGGTAATTAAAACTGTAACATTTTGTTATTCTTGCTTGCAGTGTCTAAAAAATTAGTACTATATACCAAATTCTGTGTACTGTCACAAGCACATATGATTCAATTGTGTGAAAATTGCCAATTAGAAAAGGACATAATAATTCAAAGCACTTTCATGTATTAACACATTATCAAGGAATTCGTTGGTAATCTGTTAACACAGAATAACTTTATTATTGTGTGAATTATTGTTTCCTTTGCAATGTAATAGTTTCCCCACCTGCAGTTATAATCAAAGACTATAGACCCATCAAATAGGAAATATCCAGCCTAAACTAATGCCTAATAACTATGGCTTAACACACATATAGCAGCTAACATTTCTGCACTGAACTAGAAAACATGCTAAAGTCAGGCCCCTAACCACTCTCCAATGGAAGCATAACTGAAGTATTAATAATACTTAATATTAATATCCTGAAATAATACCCTGTAATGATATATTTTACTATTATACCTACCTACCTACCTACCATAACTTTAAGTTAATGAAATGGTTTTTCATCTGTCTAGGCTCATTATTTACAATTCCAGCAGATTTATTTGGAACTGTTGAGCTCACTGGAATATTATACTGTATATTACTTAGCATAGTTTCTTATTTTGATATTTGTAATATAGAGTAGTTAGTGGTAGGGCATTCTTACAGTAAATGTAATAATATTCAACTTGGGTTCAATTCCTGCAGCCGGACTGACATATGTGGGCATGTTTCCTTTCACCTGATGCCTCTATTCACCTAGCTGTTAATTGGGACTCAGGAGTTAGGCAACTGTTGTGGGTTGTATTCTAGGGTAGATTGGAAGTTGGACTATGGGGGCTTTCATATGCCTAATAAGCTTTCTGTCCCAGAAAATGGGAAACCATAACATTTTCTCTAAGATACTGTACATCTAAACTTGGCATAAAAAAAGCAACCACTCTCTGATAGAGCCCTTTGGGAATTTATACTATATTATAAACTTTGCACTTTGAACAGTACAGACTTTCATTTGTTAAGAGATGGGTGCCTTGTCTGGGATAGAGGTTAATAAGTATCTGACAACTGTTTAATCTTTAACATTCATGACTGTAAGTAATGAAGCGGTAAGAAATTTGTCAAGTACCTGTACCCTGTATGTGTCAAGTGTTTGGCAAGCTACTACAATTTGGAATTTAGTCAGTGACCAATGCTGAAGTGAAGAACACTTTTAGAATTCCTGTTAGAAGAGGATATCATTGGTAAGGAAGAATTAGGTTTGTGGGAATAGGAGTGACCAGTTGAAAACAACAAGTCCTTGGGTCACCTCTCAACATATTGTGGTCATACCATCAACACTGTGGTCATGTCATCATGACTTTGTGTTTTTTTCCAGTCACAAATTTGCAAAATATTTTATACTGTATTCTGTATTTAAACAATGGAATAACAACATGTTAATCCTTATGCATCTTGACAAATTATTACTTTGATTTCAAAACACTATTGGTAACAATTATTTTATTATTGATTTGCTATTACAATTTATGGTATGCAGAGAGAAATGCTTAAGCTGAGAGTACATTTGATTAAAGTTGATTTTTCATCTGGAAAGGTTATATCTTGCAAGCGATTCAGTGTTACTTATGTGGTGTATTTTCTTTCCCTGACACAGTTATTGATTATCTCATATCTGTGGATACCTGAGCAGATGTTTCCTTCTACCTTGGTCTTCAATTTGTGAAATATTGGGCTGTATCCATAATCCAAATGAGGTAAATGGATGAGAGGAGCTTCAGGTACACATAGTATTTTGGAACTCCTGCCACCCATTCTTCTAAAATATGAAATTAAATGTAAATTAAATATAGTAGAATAATCTGCTATCAGTTGGTGCCACTAAATTGTATTCTGAATACAGCCAATTTTTCGGAAACTTTGAAATTCACTTTAATTTGATTTTTATGTATAAAATACCTCCTTTGGTATTATTTGACCTATTAGTAAACTAGCTGGTTAGAAATATTACAGCTGGTATTTTTTGTCTTTAATCATTTTAAAGCATATGTTATTTTTAGAGTAAGTAAGATGGGCATCCCCACAGGTGGTGGTTGATGACGGCGGTGTGGGCGTGCCGGCTAAGACTGTAAGACTGGCGGAGGTGCCTGGGGTCAGGAGGGGTCTGACCAAGATGATAGGACTGGCAGAAGCCCGGGGAGCACCAGCCACCCCAGACCCTGGTATCATCGTCGTCACCCCTAAGATGCACTACTGTCCTTATTGTGCCTTCACTACCTCCATTACCATCAAGCTTACAGAGCACCTCCGTATCCACTCCATTAAGAAACCCTTTCCATGTCCTCACTGTCCTTTCCAGGCAGTGCAGGTGGAGAGCATCAGGGCCCACATTCGCACTCACACTGGGGAGAAGCCTTTTGCTTGTGCCCACTGCCCCTATCGCTCCACTCAGAAAGGCAACATGAAGCGACATGTCCTCAAACATCATACATTAAATCTTGCATTGTAGAACATTCCTAACATACATGTTAATATCTTTTAAAATTTTTAGCAATTAGCTGGTTGAAGGATCTATTGAATATTAAAACTCATCTTAGACTTACGGTGAAACAATATTGTTTCGTGGGAACAGTTAAATTTATTTTCATTATTTTTTTTTTTTTTTTTTATTTATTTATATATACAAGAGTTCTTACATTCTTGTACAATGTAATATATAAACTTATACTATATAAAATATTGCATGATGAGCAGAGTTACATTATAAACATTTGATTATATACCCCAAGTGACATCACTCACCGACAACAACAAAATATCATACATGACTAATTTAGAAGCTCATTGGAAATGTTTTAGGTTATAGTATAGACAGTTCAAAATACAAACATGTAAATACAGAAAAATATAATTGATTGATCAACATACTAAGCTGTTTTGCATGTATTATGGATGTTGGTTAATATTATTATGGGCTACAGGGAGCATACTAATGACTAATTATTGACACCTTAAAGTGCAGCTATGATCAAAGGTAGCTATTAGCTTGTGAGAAAAACATTATTTGCATAAAAGATGTATTTGCAGGCAAAAAGTCAGGAAAATTACAAAAAAAATATCAACATTGTTTTGTGTTTTGATCACACTGGGAGATTTCGGGTGAGGGGTAATTTGGTCCTCGGGGCTGTAGTAACATGTTTGTTGACAAGCCAAATGAAGAAGCAAGCTGTGATGATTGTAATAGATGGTTTAAATGTATGCTGTTTCACTTTATAGTTTGTACAATTTGTTGGAATAACAACTTTTTACACATAATTGACAAAAAAAACAGTAACAGCTTAAAGCAAGTGTCTTGCAACCCACTTTGCTGCTATTCTGTCTGGTAATGTCATTCCAGTAATAAATTCAAATGCCAGCAGAAAACACCAAATTGTGATTTGACAACAATTGCCTTGTTGATGGTACAAGATAGTCTCATCTAATTTAAGTAATTCAAAACAAAGAAAACAAACAATTAATGAAAGCTGCATTACTCCAGGAATCAATGCATGGGTATAACCACACTTTAAGGGTTAAATTCCTGCAACATTTAACAAAGCAAAAGAATTTCTTATAGGAGACAAATGTCCATTAATAAACCTTGAAGGAATAATATCTTTGGTTTCTCTTAAATAATCACAAGTGCTTCATTGATAAATTTTACCAGTCTTGCTGAAGTAATGGGGTGATATAAATGCTGCATTCAAAGCTGACCCAGTTATCAACTAAATAGATAGTAAAGCTAGGCTTATTAACTAACCAGAACACAACATTGACATGGTTATCAGCCAATCAACATGTATGCAGACCTGATATTGACCAATCAGGTCATTATACTGTATAATGACTGACCTGACCTAAGCTGAAACTTTGACTGTCATGACAAAATAACTACAGTATGTCCATAAATAGTAAATAGTTAATTTTATCTTTTTGCCCTATGTATAAGAATATAATTCTTATATATATAATCATTAAGATTATGATTATGAATGTGCTGTCCTTGCACAACATTCCTGGAGAGTATGTACAGGACTCATCCCCACCTGCTGTGGTGGACTGACTGTAGCAGACGAGCATGTGCTGACTGATTGCAGTAATCCTTTTTTCACCTAATGTTCATAGCTTAAAGATTTTAAGCTGAAAGACACATACTAAAATACTGTAATAGAGTTCTCTGTATTATAGCATGTTCAAGGTAAGTATAGCCTAGTTGAGGAATAATAAAGCAGGGGTATAACACAAAATAATTTGTGAATTATTTGAATACAGTATATATGCATTTTACCATTTCATAAACATCTTGCATAGTTTTAAAAAATTTTGTGGAATCATTTATATATAGCATTTGCTAAATATTTTAAATGTTAGCCTTGGGTTAATTAGAGTCCAGTATGAAACAACCAAATCTAACATCCTGAGAATGACAAATGGACAATAAGCTGCAATCCTAATCGCATTAACAATTTTGTTAATGCTATCAGGATATAATAGGTGTCTGTGTATTAGAATTAAGAACATTGACAAAATATATGTTTAAGCATTGTGCAATAATGAAAAATACAAAACCTGACATCATTTATATCAACTCACTGTACCTATAGCAGGGGACTAGAAACAGTTGAATAGATTGATATGTGGCTGTAGCAATATATGTTGTAACATCAACCAGGCAACAAAATTATGTAACACAGTTAAACCTCCTCAAGGTAAGTGTGATGCCATTGAGCATAATTTGGACACAACAATTTTAAGGATTTTGGTATTAATTTTACCTCTTAAATGAAAATCAAGATGTATTGGGTTGCAGTACAGATTTAGTAGAACCAGCACTTGTAATTTACTGAAAAACTAATTTGATAAGCATTCAAACAAAGGTCAAGGTTAAGGAGAAAATCAAACCCACATAATTGTATAGATCTGAACACTTGCGCAGAATGATGTCTGTAGTTCCTTGAGTTTTTATATTTGGGAAACATGTTATATATAATTGCAAGAGAAGTATTAGTGTGATGAACTTTTATTTATATATATAGTGATGTCTTGATTATTTGTATCAATTACTTTTTAGACATTCTACCATAGAGACATTTTTGTTGTAAGGACACATTTACTCTTCTTATTATTTTTGTGCATAAAGTATTCCATTTTGCACCAAAATTATAAAAGAAAAAAATAATTTTAGAATTTAAATGTTTTTTTCTTTTTGATCTTATGCAGCTTCATTTTCAATATTTTGTATGTTCTCATTTGTATTACTATAGTAAGAAATGTCAAACAAACAAGGATTTTGGGTTAACTGAAATGAAAAACCTACAACATGTATACATTATTGTATATTTAATTATTTTTCTTTCTTTGGTGTTTGAATGTTTGCCAGAGTATATTGCTGAGTTATATGCACCATGGACACATTCTTCTGTTTTTGCTTGTTAGTAATATCGTGCAACTCTGCTCAGATTTATTACTGCTAGTTCCTATCTACAGTATAACATTTCAAGATATGTTGCAAACAACCCTTATTAGCTCTACAGTGGTCTAAATATTAGTTTTATTTCTTTTCATTAAATTTTTATTAAAAAAAATTTTCATTAGTTCCAATAAGATAGAATTTTTATTCATATTTTAATCCATAAAATCACTTGAAAAAGGGAAGAGTTTAAATATTTTGCTGAATCATTTATTTTGTTTGGGTTAGCATTCCCAATTTAACTCTGCTGGATAGAATCTTACAGGGCTAGAGGCCCTGTAAGATCAAATTTTATTTCTATATTCATTATGCCTTCTTATTTTTCATTTATTGTATTTATATGTACAAGAGTTCTTACATTCTTATACTGTACAGCCACTAGCACGCATAGCATTTCGGGAAAGTACTTAATCCGAATTTTCACACAATTTCACAATTTATAGATTGTCAGTGGTATGTGAAGATACAAAATGTTATGAAAACACAAAATGCGCATTATCCTTGCTATGTGATGTAACCATTCAGAAATTTGGTGAGGATTAATACTCTGCAGGTGCATATGATGTAAAATATTTCATTTCTAATAGCAAGATAGATTATTATGTTGTGATTATTTCATCATTAATCATGGAAAAATAGTTTATGACATTGTTTCTATGATCCCATGAATCAGTGTTAAGAGAGGTATTACACATTTATGCAAGTTGAAAGAAAATCATCAGGTTTGACCATATTACAATAAATCAACCTAATCATATGTAAGTTGTCTTGATTTTGATCAGATAGAGCTAGTTCTGTTATAACAAATGCTTCATTTTCAGTGTCTTTTATCATTCTGAGTTGCCAGAGTTTACAGTATTGTACCCAAGCCTTGTATTGAGAAAATATGCTTCTTGTTACTTTTATTTATTGTTTGTGTATCATACATAAGTGTAATGTCTGGCTTATATTTTTATGAAATCTCAACTTTTATTTTTATTAATTTCAATTTTACTTTTTGTTTTATTTGCCATTGTTTGTAAGTCTTATATAATGGTAGAGGATACTTTACAATTAAATTACAGAAATTTATGGTAAGCTTCATGTGTACAATAAAAGTGACACTTGAAATACAAGAAGGAATTCAAATGAACTACACACAACTATTTTAAATTGAGGCATTCAAACAAATCAGTTACATGTGTACAATATTAATATGTACAATATTGTGTACAATTATTGTACATGTGTACAATAAAAAAAGCAGAAAAAGTTCAGCAGAAAATTAGCGCCTGATCAGCTTGACATCACTCATCTGAAAGCTCATGGAAAGAATCCTCAGGGAGGGAATCATTCACAATTTTTCAGTGAGTAACCTTGTACAATCGACAGAACATGGATTGGTAAAAATAGATCCTGCCTTACAAACTTGCTCATATTTTTTGGAAACGGTAACCAGCTACTCAGACAAGAACCTTCCGTTGGATGTAGAATACAGTACATGGATTTTGCTAAAGCTTCTGATACGGTTCCACATAAAAGATTGGCAAGAAAATTACAGGCCCATGGAATAAATGGTAAAATATTAGAATGGATAAAAAATGGTTGAAGGAAAAAAAACAAAGGGTTGTGCTAAATGGAAACGAATCTGACTGGAGAGATGTGATAAGCAGGGTGCCACAAGGGGTCTAGTTTGGGACCTACTCTTTTTGTCATATACATCAATGACATAGATGAGAATATTACCACATCATCAAATTTGCAGATGACACAATGATTTATGTTAAAGTGAGAAATGAATATGATATTGAAGCCTTACAAAGAGATCTACATGAACTCCACAAACGGTCAAAGACTAGCAAACGCTTTTTTTAATATTGAGAAATGCAAGGCCATACATGTGGGGCATAACAACCCACGCCATGATTACCAAATTAATAGCATTACATTACAGCAGATCGATGAAGAAAAGGACCTTGAAGCAAAATCCACCACTCATTAAAAGTTGCACAACAGATGGG